CCCTTACACCATCATAGTACCCTCCCCTCACACCATCAGCCTACCCTCCCCCTTTACACTACCCTCCCCTTACACCATCATAGTACCCTCCCCTCACACCATCAGCCTACCCTCCCCCTTTACACTACCCTCCCCTTACACCATCATAGTACCCTCCCCTCACACCATCAGCCTACCCTCCCCCCTTACACTACCCTCCCCTTACACCATCATAGTACCCTCCCCTCACACCATCAGCCTACCCTCCTCCCTTACACTACCCTCCCCTTACACCATCATAGTACCCTCCCCCACGCCATCAGCCTACCCTTTCCCCTTACACTACCCTCCCCTTACACCATCATAGTACCCTCCCCTCACACCATCAACCTACCCTCCCCCAACATCTTTAGCCTACCCTCCCCTTCGGGCCATCAGTCTACCTTCCCCCCCACATCATCAGCCAGCCTACGAATATGTCCACTGTATAGTCACCATCACTGTTCACCATTGTTCATTATTACCACAATATACAATATTATGACAATATATGGTCGCCATCATTCAGATGCAGGCAGGTCGCTGTGTGTCAGGAGCAGCGAGAACTTGAAGCAGATCTCCGACCAGCTGTTCGCATCCGACCGCGCGGCGTTCAACGCCGGCAGACGCCTCTCCGCCAGTCACGACCAGCCCGACGAAGACAGCGACGACAGCGCCCTCTCTGATTCATCCAGCGAAACGTACGCGCCTTCGCTCGCCGCGGCGGTTCGAGCGTGCGCTGTTTGTTTTGTTTTTTCGTTTATGTCATTATCGTCATGTCGTATGTTATGTTATGTTATGTTATGTTATGTTATGTTATGTTATGTTATGTTATGTTATGTTATGTTACGTTATGTTATGTTATGTTATGTTATGTTATGTTATGTTATGTTATGTTATGTTATGTTATGTTATGTTATGTTAAGTTATGTTATGTTATGTTATGTTATGTTATGTTATGTTATGTTATGTTATGTCATGTTAAGTTATGTGGATTTAGCATCTTTTATTCACGTGAAATCTGTACAGCGCTTTTCCTAGACAATCGTAAATTGCACATTTTAGATTTCAATGGCAGAAAAAATGGTGACGTGTCGATGTCACATCCTTGCTCTTGGCAATGTCAATTCATTTCGATAAAAATTACTTTATTTACACCTGTGAATTATATTTTGGAGGTAACATATTAGCAAACCAAGTTAATAGACACTGCTGATACGATTAAAAAGCCTGTCAAGCGACGCGTAGCGTGGATGGTTTAATCAGACGAGCTATTCACACACAAACGCAGCGAAGCGAGAGCGCACAGGGATCTGACGTCAGTGCTGTCCATAGTCGCCGCCCACCAGCTACTGATGTCCGTCAAAGTGTTCACCGACTGGCTACGCTTCAACGAGCCGATCATAGACACGTGTGCGCAGGTACGGCCGGGAGAATGTTCGCGTTAAGCTGGGTTTACGCTACCGACTTTGTGTTGGCGAATTGGCGAATTGAACCAACTTCCCAACCATACAACCGATTAACACTCGGCAGTGTAAACGTAAATGTTGCGCGACCAATCGAGCAACTAGTTGGGAGATTCTAACGTTCTATTTTCGCCAACTCGGAGTTGCCGAATTGCGAAATTTGTCCAACTCGCTAATTGGCCTACATAAAGTCGGTAGTGTAAACCCAGCTTTACTGTCCACTGACTCGGATTAGAGACGATCTTTCGAGCAATCGAACATGAGTGTCAGTTTCCAAGTTTCTGAATGCAGTTTTACTGTGAGGTTTCCGTGTCACGAATGGCGTAACTTTCGTGTCAATTGTCCGGTGAATGCGAGCGTATATTGCACGTAATTTCTGATGCAGAACACGCATGTAAGTAGCAGAAACTGAGGACAATACTCAGCTACTGGTTATACACAAGTTAAAAAATGTGCATTCATTGCAATTAGGTAAAAAAAAATTCCGCATTCATTGCGCTTAAGTAAATAACTGTGCATTCATTGTAGCTAGATTCGATTCAAGTATGTATCCTGAAAAACTCCACTGACTGATTTGCGTGTGACAATTCCTCCTTTCGCTCACTCGCACATGATCATCTAGAACTGATACAGCTGTAAATGGTATTCTTCTTCGTCTTCCAGAGTTCTCAGCTTCTCTGGTCCAGGTTCTCTATACTGCTAAACCTGCTGCCACACGAAACAGACTTTGCGAACACAGGCAAGTGTCTTACGTCTCGCATCCATCACACAAATCGAATGGGAAATTCAGGAATCGGTCGTTGGCAGTCGAATAATACTTTGCTATTGCGCGATATTTTTCTTTTGCTATTTGTGTTTATCTGTCAATCTCGACAGTTCGATGGCAGTTTGTCGTGTTGACTGACATGTGATGGTAACGGGTCTTTGCACGCAATCTTGACAGATGTGTGTGGATCGCCGACAGTGCGGGAGGAAGTGGAGAGACTCGTCTCGCAGGGGAAGGAGTGGACCCAAACATGTCTGCTTATGGAGGACCTCGCGCTGCGCAAGTGCTGCCCTCTACGGCAGGCCCACGGCGGCATCGACTTCTCCACGAAGAGCGTTGCTAGGCAACAGCAGGTTCGGGTAGATCTATTGTACGCTGTGACGGCAGATGTGGGGCTAGGAAACCCCGTAGTTTACCCCTGATGTTAGGCTAGGAAACCCCGTAGTTTACCCCTGATGCGGGGCCAGAAACCCCTGAAGCGTGCCCCTGATGTGTAGTTAGAACACCCCACAGTTCATGAACTAAACTCAAGACGGCTGCACCCATAGGTGTCGCATATTAGGTCTGCTGATCATATTACCTTTGAATATTTGGTTTGCACGCACGATGTAGTACGGCATCTGTCTGTTTTCTACAGATGTATTTCATGTGCTGTTACCACAGCCTTGATTGCCTTCTACTAAAGTATTTGTATATATGTTATTGTCATCTACAGACAAGAAATCTAAGAAGCATGCTGACACGAGGATGATGGAGTGGGCTAGGAAGGCTTGCCACAGATGTCTCATATACCTGGGGGATCTCGGTTAGTATATCGTTTATATTATTATAATAATATCTGTACTCATAACGAATAGTTTCGTTAGCTGGCTATTTACTCTGTCAGTCGATTTGTCTATTGGCTTGTCTGCATTTATTTATTAGAAAGGTAAATTTATAATTTGATAAAATGGTAATGATATTTAAGCTGAAAGTGAAATGCTAAATGTACTATGTTCATGATTCAGATTATATTATAAACTAACCCAATCACGTGAAACAGTGTATTTAGTTTGTTATGTCTGGACTGGTAACGGTTTATTATTGCATGTACTATTGTTATGCTACCGGCATTTGACATTGTGTTATTTCAGCGAGGTATCAGGCAGAGTATGATGGACAGAGGAGTGTATGTTTATCTCAACGATACTACCATCAAGCTCTCACGCTGTGTCCAGAGATAGGTAGTTGGCATAACATACCTTTCTGTCTATAACTGTAGTCATCACTGACATATTGGACATATTGTTTGTGTGTGTGTAGTGTGTGTGCATGACAGAGAGAGAGAGAGAGAGAGAGAGAGAGAGAGAGAGAGAGAGAGATGTTGTTACTGAACACGTTTTTCTGATTTGTTTTGTTGGAAAGTCGTGTAGTGTGTAAAAATTGGTCAGAATGTAACCGAAATTGAGAAAGCAAGTTTGTATTTCATTCTGGCGCATGCCTAGTGAGATTAAGCTAATTCACTGGCTTTTCTATCCTGTGGTAGGTATGCCCCACAACCAGCTTGGGACGCTAACCGGGTCTGCATACTATGGCTGTGATGCCGCGTACTACTACATGAGATGGTACGTGAAACGTGCTTCCCGTTTTCTCTCTCTCTCACCGCCATAATGATCATTAACTCGCAGGTCCTGCTCATAAATACCCAACATCACTAATAAACGCGAATTACAAAGATCTATGCAGAAGGTAACACAACTTTAAAATGCTTACCCGTCAACTTTATATAATGCTTGGAGCGCTATATACCCTGTTCGGAATCAACTCGAGTAATTTCGGACTTTTATGTGTGGCTGAGCTGCAGTGCTTCTTAAACTGGTGAATA